TGGTAAATAGAAATGACAGCATATGTTGAAATTAAACTCTTTTTGGTGCTTTAATATGCATGTCTGCCAGTGAGTGAAGAATTGTCATAATCTGTCAGCAAATGAAAAATTATTGAAAGTAATTACTTCTAACAACACACGTGGATGAAACTTAACATCTATGACATCTCATGGCAGAGCAGAGTTTAATTTGAATTACACATATGATGTAAACATACCAGTTTGCACAATTATCCACAAAAATTCCTGAAAGTTAGTATGTACTGTAGTCTCTCAAGTGTAACCCCCCTTTTTTTCCCAGAAAAAGCAAATAAAATTCAGGGATGCGGCTTATACATGCAAATTATTAGAAATAGATGTATACAAACAGCTGGCAACACAGCAAAATGTATTTAATAATTGAGCATAAAATACATTGTTGGGTAAACGTTTCATAGTATTGTACTAGTTGTGGTTGCTGGTTATGGTGACCAGTTGTGGGATACTAGTGCTAGTGATAATTGATAGTGGTAGTGCAGCCAACTACTGCAGTGATTGACAGTGACAGTGAATAAGGAGTGCTAAGCACAGAAACGTGTTCCTTTTGATTGAAAATTTAAAAAATAAGTAAATAATGTATGGTAAGTACTGTTTTCCACTTACTGCTTTCACACCTGCAAAATGGAAAAATATTATATACAGGCTATCTGTCACTTATCCTCAAGGTTTTTTTTTCTTTAATTAGGCATATTTAGAATATTGTATTTCTCCTAAGAGAAATTATATATAAAAATTAAAGAAGGTTTTACATACAAGGTCCGGCTATTAATTTCCAGGACTGACTGAACTATAGAAGAACGAAAAGTCGGAAGATGGCGCTAATGATTGCATATTAAAGAGAGTTTTCTTGCGCATGTGCAGTGCAATCGACACCATTCTAAAGTAAGTGGTTCTCGTGGAAAGGGCATTAAAATGTAGCTCTTAAAAATTCCTATTGTCGAAGTGAAAATGGAGCAAAGACTTAACATTAAATTTTGCTTCAGATTGGGCAAGACAGCTGCGGAAACCTACGGAATGTTAAAGCAAGTTTATGGCGAGGAAGCATTATTCCACTCAAGAACTTTTGAATTGTTTAAGCGCTTTTGGGACTGGCGCGAAAGCATTGAAGATGATTTACACGCAGGTCAGCCGCAGTCCCTATGCACGCCAGAAGCAATTGCAAAGTTCGCGATATGGTGAAATGTGATCTTCGATTGACTATTCGAGTACTCGCCAATGAATTGAAAAGAGACGGTTCAGCGAATTTTGATGTAAGACCTAGGCAAACACAAGATTTGTTCCAGATGAACAAAAGCAATTGAGATCAAGAAAAATGTAACGTCACTATTAAAGAGCATTCCAAAAGAAGACTTTAAAACTTCTTTCCCAAATTTGTACAGCCAAGCACAGACGTGCATTACGGCTGATGGGGATTACTTTGAATCATATTAAATGGCTATGTGTTTAATCTTTATTTCTTCTGAGTTATTCCATGAGTCCTGGAAATTAATAGCCAGACCTTGTATATAAATATGCATGTGCATGTTTATAGTATAGAGAGTCCTACAGTACAATGCACAAATATTCCATACTGCTTTGCACAGAAATATATGCCAACCAAGTATTTGTCTTTCCAAAGAAATATCTCTAGACCATTTCTTTCTTTTTCTTTTTTTACCTTCTTTCATTGCCTCTTGGCTGATAAGAAGGGCAGATAAAAGAGCATTCTGTTGAACTAGTAAAACTTTGTGGTGAGTTGAAAAAGCCATGATACAAAATAACAGCAGCAAGCAGAGCAAGCGCGGGAAATCAATCAAGCTAGAAAACAGCGCACGAAAAGTGTAGACACATCCACGCATATGCAAATTTTGCTTCTCTCATTGGCCACAGCTTAGACCCCTGTCTCGCAGGTGTTAACGGAACTCCCGTATTTTATGCCCTTATGACTATGCCTCTATGCTCTTTATGCCGCTGTCTGATCCTCACACTTTAATGTTCTTTCCCACCATCCTCTCATAGAACAATCTAATTTAAATTGTACTATTAGCATTAAAATAATATGCATGATTGTTCTACTTTGAAATTCAAATTTCTCAAATGAACATACACATTCTCTCATGGTGTCTACTAATGCTAATAACCGGCTGCGATTGTCAGTTTGTAATTTTGATAAATACAAGATTTTCTTTAATAATGATGAAAATAACTCTCTCTTATGTAAAAATCTTTGACACAGTAAACTTCATGTCATTTCAAAATTTCTTTGACAAATCTTTAAAGCCTGAACAATCCGTTATGCACCTCTCTTAAAAAAAAACATTTTAAATATTGTAATTTTTGGTCATCCGATAATCTGTCATTATCTAATATCGCTGTTTTAAATAAAGCTAAAAATGATAACCATTCTTCAGCACCACCACTAATTATAGAAAGAGTTTGCTTAAGTGAGCGAATACTCGCTATTTTACAAGATTTAGCTTCCAGACTGATATTTTTAGCATTCTTAACATTAACTTTGGTTAGCATTAAAAGTAACTCATCAACAGTATCTTGAATATCTTCTTGTTCTTCAATAAACAGGTCAATATTTTTGTCTTCGCATACTACAAAAATGTTACTAAATATATCCGAAATTTCAGTCATTACATTACTTAATCTGGAATTAAAAAGTTCTAACTAAGCATACTCAGCAGAGTCATAAGTCACTGTAATTTTCTCCTTTAGTTAACTGAGCTTTAGCTACATGCTTTTTTTCTCTTAAGCATTGGAAATTCCATTATTTAATAAGAAAGATATGGAAATACACTGACTCAGCAATTTTACTGTAGCTCCGTAATCGACAAATCAAAAACCATGTGTGTTCTCTTGTTTATGAATAGAATAGTGGTCTGTTAACTGACTTGTGATTACCTTAGTAGAACTTTAGTAAATTCATAGTCATAATCTTGAAATCTCTTTATTGGCCTTCAGACATCATGTTGGCTGAGGAATGGCGACAGAACACTGCAAAACTCTAGCTTCAGAAGCGCATCTCAAAAGAACATCTGCGTCATTGGAACTGCAGTAATTGTCAGTCCTTCCCGCTCCTTGGCTCACCAACTAGAAAACAATTTGCATAACAACAAACACGTGGTTTTGCCAGCATAAAATTATTTTCAATTTTTTACCTCAGAAAAAGTTAGGGTGAAGGGAGCTGAATGGTTTGTAAAATACTGACAGTTGTTCCGGCATTTATTATCAGCAATCAAGTAGAGCTTATTGTCGTTTTTCTCGTATGTGTGACATGAATTTATGAAAGTTGCCTTTAAAAAGTCATCTTTAAAAGCATCTTTTCTCATGCTCTTAATCTGCTGTTCTTTTATAAGACATTCTGATTTATCCCCTAAAAATGCATAAATCTGCTTTAAAAGTTTGAATTTTGCTTAATTTAAATGTCAAATTAGCATGTTTCTTTTCTACATATATGTGTTTACTACTGATTAATCATATTGTATTTTTTTAACTAAACGAATGTCTTTTAATTTATGTGTTAAATTGTGAATAACTTTTTTATATGCCAGAAAATGCACCATTCCTGCATCAAGGTTGCAAAAAACAAATTTCTCCAAATATTTTAATCTGGTTTTTTACTATGCTATATAGTTTTTATCCTGTTCTTCCACTCTTTTCCAATGTTCTGTGAGCTTTCCATAATGCCTTGTTAAAAATAGGATGGTAACTTGCTGTTAAAGAGATTTGCCAGGTAGACTTTTACCTTCTGAAGAGAATTTCTCATTCAGATGGTATTTCATTTTAGGAATTTTCAGGAATGGAATAAGCAATAGTTTTGCTGTGCAGAGATTGGAGAATGCAGTGGATGCAAGAGGGCATTTGAATGAAACTAGGGACTTTCTTAACTCCTCTAATAAAACATGAGGTCTAGTATTGTCATTGTGAAACACAATAATCTCATGGTTTGTAAGTTTGCTGTGTTCCGAATTGACAACAATATGTAGTTTAGTTTACCATCTGTCCATAAGGAAGTAGCTCAACGAAGAAAACTTTTTTTGAATGGATCCCTGTTTTCCCTGCCACCTGTGACCTGCTTCTTGCAAGTTTATTTGTCATATGGCATCCAGAATTCATCACTTGTTATTCTTCTTCTGAGAAATAGGTCACTTTCTTTTCTGTGCAACAGCTAATTCAATCACGATGTACAGAGATCCTATGAAATTCATACTTAAAAATCAGATTTAGATTTAAGTTAAATATTATTGGGCTCAGTCAGCTGTTGTGTCACTTAAACATTGTATCTGCTTTTGTAACCATTGACTTTGAGTGTTTCTAATCTGTAAATTTGGAAAGGCTAAGAGTCTTTGCAGTTTCTTGAACAGTGCAACAGGGGTTTGGGTCAATGAAGCCTTTGATTTGGTCGTCATCTGCTGTGGATGCTTGTCCAGAGCTTCTTGTCTTAAAGTTACACTCCTCCTCCAAATCTTTGGAACCGTCTGTTCATTGCTCAGTTTGTAATAGCATTATTCCCATAGATGGAGCAGACTTCCTTTATGATGCCAGCAATGCTTTCTTGCTTCTTTTTAAGCAATAGAGCACATATCGCAGGTACTCATTCAAATCATTCATTTTTAGTGCTTGTCTAAAGAAATTAGTTGGCTAGCATGGCAAAGAGGGAATGTGTGGGGAGGAGGAGCTTGTCATTTTATGATAAAAGGTGGTTGTGAGAAATATTGGCACATTATGACCTTGGAATGCACGAGCTAGCATGAACCCAAGTGGTGCAAGGCTTAAGTTAACTCACCAAATTGGCTTTTGTTATTTTTGAGCAGAGAATATGTTTGTTGTGTGCTTGTATGTATAGGTTCTTTGCTTTATAAGAAAAATAAAATAGAATAAAAAACTTGTATTATATTTTTCCTTTTTAAATAGTTATTTTATGTAATTTATGTTAAAAAAATTAATTTCTTTAAATTGTGAATCTGTTCTAGACTTCCCAGAAGATGTTACCATCAGACAAAGGTACAAAGCTTTGGGGAACAGCTTAAATGTGTTTGTTGCTGCTTGTGTTATACAGCTGTTATTTGAAACTTAACAATGGCATATCAGATGTATATGTTTGTTTTTATATAAATGTGTAAGTGAAGCTAATTCAAATAACATTGGCCAACTAAATGTAGCTTTTTGCTTGTCAAGTGGAAGTAAAAGTGTGATTCTTATGTGCATTTTCCTGATCATTTCAAATTGGTGTATAAAACTGTAACATGACCCATATTATACAATGAAAGGGGGAAATAATAACAATTTTAAGTATGAGGAAAAATTAATTTCATATTAAAGAAATAGTCATAGAAAAAATCTGCTTTGATTTTGTAAGTGGCATATGAAAGTGTGTAAGAATCAGCATAAATTATACAGGTAATGAAGTCACTATTATAATTTTGACTTATATCAGCATTAGAAGTACATGAGAATTAGTATATGTAAATTACACTGTGAGTTATAGAAAAAAGTTGATTTTATTTTAGTAATCAGCTCTCTGAAATGCAGAAGTATCAGCACAAATTATGTATTATCAAATCACTTGAATAATGTGTACAATTAGGAAATCACCAATGTAATAAATAATAAAAATTTTATTTTTTTCCCTTGTTAAATGGACATGAAAAAACAACTCTTTATGTAAGTAATGCATTTTTTGCTGATTTGAAACTTGTGTATAAAACTTTTCCATGACACATGTTATTAGAATAATTATATGAGGACAAACAACGATAATAGACACAAGATAAAGGTGATTTCATTTTTATAATCAACATAAATTTTACGTATAGCAAAACCTTATTCACCATTGTAATTATAAACTGTCCCAAATATTTTTATTCTCTACGATTACTTCTTAGCATAGAAAGTAATAGCCTAGCATTTTAAGTAAGGAAAAGTCAAATTTGAATTCTCAGTATTACTCCCTTGAAGAATTTATTGTTGGTTTTAAGAATCCCAAAATAATAATAATAATAATAATTCTGTCAAATAGCATTTACTTCAATATATCCTCTTTTATCCTCTGAATATCACAACTGAAGGTGACAGCCTTATGTAGTAAACTTACATGATCTTTTCCAAGATTCTTTTTCCAAGAAAATCATGTTTCTCCAAGGAAAGGAAATAAAGGTAGATGCATTAGGCAATTATCCGCGATTATAGTTGGTCTCAGTTACTTATTCATTGGAGTGTTGTTTTAAAAACTCAGTGAAAAAAAGGTTGTTTTGATTCATTAAACATGTTTAATATGGTACTGTAACAAGTCACGTGTGCTTTTGCTTTTCTATGTGATTTAGTGGCTACAGTGAAATGATATTTTGTTCTTAAGAGTTTAATTTAAAGAGCCGGTTTGATTTTTGGATGTATAATTGCAATGGAATGTTGTATGGTGATGCTTAAATAAATGTTCTTATTTCATGTATCTTTTATATGTAGCACCCAGAAGTATGAGTTAACAGATTATTTTGTAAAGCATTACACTGTGTTGTTTGTTGAGAAAGCCAGAAAGGTCGACCTCGTAATCCTGGGCTCAGATTGTGGACTAATGATAAACAATGAAGCTCAAATGTTTGAATTAAAAGACTTAATAGTTAACTTGAATGAATTTAAGAGAGATAAAAGCTATGTGAAAAATTACCTTGAGACCATTATGTGAAGTTGTATCCAAGATGAGCATCGACGGAATAAGGGGGGAAGAAGAAGAAAAAATCAGGATTATGAACTGACAAAGTTATGTTTGACGCTGGATCTTCAAAAGGAAAGAGAGCCTGTTTCTCTCTAAAGTGTTTGTACCAGAAGATTTTGCTAAATTTTAAGAAAGAAGAAAGTTAATGAAAGAAAAGATGTCAGTATATTTCTAGTTCTGTTCAAGAGATAAATAAAACTGTTGAAGTTCAAAAAAGGTTTGTGCAATTCATCTTCTTGGGACTTTACTATCAGAGGTATCTAAGGTAATTGCTAGGGAATCAGAGGAAATATTTCAGAATCAAGCTCATATAGAAAGCATCCTCCTTGAACAATTCAAGATGACTGTGGAAAAACTCAGGAGGTTGTTCACTGAAACAAAAAAGAATCCTGATGGTTCTTGGAAGGAATTTTATTTCCAACTCCGGGTGTCCTATAAAGGTTGGTTATTTGAACTGAAAATTATAAGTTTTGACTGGCTAAAAAAAATGATTTGGGACCAAATGAAAAAGCACAGTGCTGTTGACTGCAAAGATCTTTTTGGAGGAATGAGAACAACTAATTTTTCCTGATGTTTTAGCAGTAAAATTCGATACCTGTGATATTATAAGGAGTTCATTTGACCAAGGGAGAGCTCAGATATGTTTGAAATCGGATGGTCATTCTCCAAACAGAGAGAACTATGCTGTAGGTTGGAGGAGTGCAAACACAAGGAAAAATTTTGAACTGTTGGTAAGATGCTATGGTTGTGGCACTTCTGGAGTGTTAAAAGCAAAATGACTAAACTCTTTTTTTAGACAAACAAAACAAGACCCTCATGAATTCGGCTGAAGATTTGACCTTACATACCTCCTCTTCAAATATTCCTCAGGTATACACTTTTGTTCTTGATGCTGAATTCTCCCCTTTATCTTGATACTGGAACTAGCCAATCTATAGGAGAAGAATTGTTGCTTAAATTTTTGCAAAAACTCGAGGAGCAGTTTGAGATTCAGCAGAGTAAAATTTCTCTGGCTAATGTCGATAACTTCAGTTCTAATGCTCTGTAGACAGCAGTACCAATCAAATTAAATGTTCAAATTATTGTCCTTAAGATGTTATTTCTACCTTAAGCAAGAGGAAATCGAACTATTTATTAAATATTATAAAATTCAAATTAAAATATGAAATACAATTAGCACCAAAAGCTCTCTCTCTCAAACTCAAAAACTCTGCGCTTACATACTTTTACTAATTTTACTAATTTGCATCCTGGTGGAAGGTGACAACAACAGAAATCATAATAAAGCCACAGTAATAAGATAACTAGGTTAATTAACCTGAAATTCTTAAAAGTTAAGTCAAAGATTTTATATCACGTTCGAATGACAACACTCTGGAAAATGGCTATTTGCCAATCAACATGGTCTCGTGTAATGGCAACATCTGAGATCCTCTGAATAATAAATGATGCGGTGGCGTAAATAGTCACTAACATCTACTTGAATGTGAGGAATCAGCTATAGTTTTTTAAGCATTTCTAACAGTCCGGTTTGAAAGACCTTTAGTTTTATTTGAAGGTGTGGTGTGCAAGATCGTGTTGTGTAGCAAATTTACTCAATTAATTTATTTATGACTTATTAAAAATTAATGTATTTATATTATAATTTATGCTACACAACGTGTATTTTATTTAATCTCTGTGTGAGTTTATTTAATTTTAATTGGGGTTTTTGGTATTTAAGATTCGTATGTTCTTTTCACTCCTTACTCTGTGAACGCGCTAAAACATGCAAGGGAATGGATGTTTTTCTATGCAATAATCTTGATTTTATATTACATAACTTAAGTAACTCTCTTCCCTAAACTGATAAGGGGTTTCCGATGGGGTGAGATAGGTTGCCAGCTCGGCCTTCGCAGCCGTTTTAGATTTGGCTATGCTTAAATTTGTGTATAGTTTAATGCCTTGGAAAAAGGAGAAATTTTACAGAGCATAAGGCGGTGGTTGAAAAAACTGTTTTTTTCACAATTTCTAGCGCTTGTTGGCCAAGGTGGTAGTCTCGTCATATCTAATAGGGGGACCGGAAATTAACGTCGCTTTCTTACATTAAATTCACACGAATAAATTTTTAACACGTTTTTATTTTTAATCAATAATGTAATCACCCTCGCTATCAGCAACCCTTTGCCATCTAGTGTGCAGACTTTTAATCCCCGGACCGATATAAATCAATTGGTTTTTGAGTAAAATATCTCAAGATGACATTTTGGACACCATCCAAATTTTCAAATTTTTTGTCACTAAGCAAATGTTGTAGAGATTGGAATAAATGGAAATCCGAGGTTGCGATATCGGGCGAATATGTTGTGTGAGGCAGTACCTCCCACCCCCAATTCATTATATTTTTTCCAGTGTTCGTCTTGCACAGTACGGTCTTGTCATTGTCATTCTCGTGTTGCAGAATGACGCCTTTTCCTGTTGACAATCGCCAGATATTTTTCGATTAAAGATTGGTTCACTAGATCCAATTGTTCACAATAAAGGTCTACATTAACAGTTTTTCCAGGTTTCAGCAATTCAAAATGAACAATTTCGAGAATACTCCATCAAACACCCAGAAGCGCCTTTTTGGGATGTAAACCCTTTGTAACCCCTATTAAAATTGCCTTTTGTGTTTTGGATTATGGTATAGGACTTATTTTTTTTGTTTCCACTAATCAAACGATCAAAAAAAGGGTTTTGTATGGTGCCGTTGAAGCAATACGTTTCATGTGATGGATAGGTTGGCTTTGTTCTCTTCGGACAGATTATGGGGGACTCAAACACCTGCTTTGCTTATTTTTCCATTCTGCTTTAAGTGTTCTTGGATGGTCGGCCAAGGTTGGTTAAGAGTGTTTGGACATGGATTTGCTTCCACTTCTGCCCTTAGCCTGTTGTTGTTGACATGCGCAGAAACGACATTACTCACCGGGCCCTTTATTAATTACCAATCATGATAGGTTTCTTTCCTATCTAAACGGGTTCCACCTCCGGAAGAACTTTGTTTTCCCCATGTGTAACGTTTATACAAGCCAGTTTCCCTTAGAAATCCCTCCACGAAGGCATCCCTCCCCTTAGGCAGATAGCCCTCGAGGCTTTGCCATAATCGCACACCACCTCCGGAAGAACTGCTTATGCAAAATATGTAATTCTTACAGAGATGCAGGTGACTGTGTATTAACAGGGAGTGTGAGGGTAAAGTATGGATCATTAAATAGCAAGATATGAATAAGAAAAATGGAAAGACAAAAACATACGCTAAGGAAGTAATGAACGTTATTAATGTGAATAAGAAGTCTATTGGAATTGAGAACTAGATTTACTTTTATTTTTGTTTTTATTTTGCCATAATCGCACACCACCTCCAGAAGAACTGCTTATGCAAAATATGTAATTCTTACAGAGATGCAGCTGACTTCGTCGAGGACTGTGTATTAACAGGGAGTGTGAGGGTAACGTCTGGATCATTAAATAGCA